CCCACCATGATCAATCAAAAACTAAACAATAACGAAATAGAAGCAAAATAAATATATATCGCTACCGAATCCACATCTTTAAGATTCAGTGAGCATTTTTAAAAGCCATTACTGTCACATATTGGAATAGTTTTAACATTTCATGGGTCGCCCACAGCATTTTCGAACATTTTAATGTATTCTCACTAACCGGTTGAGAAAGGAAATCTCACAATCAATATCTTTAGATTGACGTTAGAATGATTTTTACTCTTCTCCGTTTTTTTCTTATTCCGAAATATGTATATAAAAACATATGTTTTGTTCAAAACGATTTTATAAAGATTAATGAAATCATTCAAGCAGTGAAAACGATTTCTGAATTTGAATGAATAGTGTTGAAAGTTCTTTGAAAAGGGTGAAAACGATAATTAAAAGAATATTGTTGAAGTTGATTTGAGTTCTTTTGATTGATTTGTTTTTAATAACTTTTTTTTCCAATTAAATTTTCTGTACATCAAATGCGTATCAAAAAACATTATAAGATATTATTAAACGTATCAGATTGCTTGCATTTGATAAATATGGATTATTTTACACATTTAATTTATTCAATCAATGAAAACGATCTGTGCCTTTAAATGGGAATATTGAATGTTCTTTGAAAGAAGGGAAAACGATAATTAATATTTGAGGTTAATTTCAGTCTTTTGATGGATTTTAGTCTTAAAATTGTTTTCCGATTATTTTCGATCAATCTATATATAAATGAAATGTGCATCAAAAAGATTTAATATAAAATAATATTAAACATATTGTTTTTGTTCCTTTAAATAGTCATTTTGCACAATTAATCATGTTCTAATTTAAAAGAAAAGAGGTTTTTTTTCTGTTACTTTGTTTTGCAAAGTTGCGTTTAATATCAATTCCGATAAAAGGTGACAAAATTTTGTTGAATATAAAGAAAGGAAATGAGATATTATTTTTATTGGTGAATGTTTTAAATTTTATTATGCTTAAATGCTTCATTCGGGAGAATAAATGTGGAACTATGTGCTGGTGCAGCGCAGTATAGCTTAATGGCTGTTTAATCTTGCAATAAATCAAACTTTTAGTTATCAGGAAAGAAATAAAAATCTAATCTAATACTTTTATTTATAAGCTAGTAATTTAGTTAAAATAGTTTGGTAATTTTGTTTTTTAAATTTGTTACTTTAAGAATAATTATTTGTTTTTATTATATGATTTCTGGATTTATTGTTTTAAATGATTATGGTCTATTTCTTTTGTGTTAAACGTAATAATATGGATAACTTGTTCAATTATATGGATGTAACAGAAAATAAAAAAGCATAGCATATTGGTCTAGTTCTAGCATAATGAACAGTTTTAGTTTGAATAGACTTACCTCTAGCATAATGAGCTGTTAAATTTTAAATAGGCTTCAACCTATAAAATGAGCAATTTAATTTTGAATAGACTTCTGACCGTATAATGAACAATTTCAGTTTGATTAAACTTTTGATTCAATATAATTAATAGTTTTATTATAATTAATTATGGGCGCTTTTTTTTGTTGCTAATTTTTGTCTTAAAATAATAATATAGAAAAATATTGAACATTTCACGTTTTTGAAATCCCAAGAGTTCTACATTACCCATCCTACAATATTTCATATTTTTTAAAATTGATAAATGTATTTTTATCACTCTGAATAACTTTTTTCTTTTGCAAGGATGATTTTCTTAAGTGGCAGTAGTACAAATATCAGGCATTCATATAAATGTTTACATTATTTATATGTAGGAAATGTCCCAAGTCATTTCTAATTAAATTTACGTATTCAAGAATATAAAAAAGCATAAATTTCAGTATCACTTTAAATATAAAAATACTATCCTATGGAAAATCTTTTATAAATTATTCGAAGAATACAGCAAAAATTAATCATTGCACCTTTCAGTATTTTCAGATTATTATCAATATTACGAAGTATTTTTTTCCAGTGGTACTGATTTAAAGTTCAAATTGTTTTAACAAAATGATTTTCTTAAAACTTCTATCAGAACTTAAAAAACTTTATCAGAGCCTTTTATTTCAAATTATTCATGTTTAAAACAAAAACATTCATTGCAATCAATTTCAATAGTAATCTGAAAAAAATAATGATAAAATGTTGCTAATATCAATTTTTCCTAATAAAATTTTGAATTCAAGTGTGATTTTTTTCTTGTATGAATAGCTCGAAATCTAAGAAAGTGTTTGGAAAGTTATTTTGGACTGAGCATTAGCCTAAGAATTTAAAAGTAATTCGTGCACACTAGAATACACTATTGACTTTTAATGCTTTAATGTAAAAGTATTTGTTTAGGGCTTTCGGTTCTTGCTTATTCATCGTAGTTAATTACCAGTCGGCAACGCAAGAAAACATATCTGATATTAAATTTATCTTGTCTTGCTTTTGGATCTGGGCGCCTGGGCCGCAAAGCCCTGTCCTATTCATCGCGTAGTATTAGTCATTTTGTTTGGTTTCGTTGAGGTTCGTAGGCAATACGGTTGCTGTGATATTAAATTTAGGATCTGATTTTAGGTTTGTAGTGGATATTTCTTCAAATTAAAATGGTAGGTATTAGAGAAATTTTTTTAAAATTTAGTATAAACGTGAATATATTACCACTATGCATAAATTGGGTTAAAATATAAGTCGTAAAATTTGTTCTGGCTGGGTCTTAAAGGATTAATTTAAACGTCGCTTTGCTCCAGTTATTCCGATAGGCCTTTTAAAGAACAACAAATTGAAATTTGCAGATTTTTGGTTATTTTGCCAACATTTTACAAGACTCAACACAGCTTTACTGTAAAAAAGCGACGTATGATATAAGTTTTTGAATTATTTGGAAGTAGTGGTGGAAAAAAACCCATACAAATCGAATTTAGTAAACCAAGAAACATACAATAAAAGACTTCCATTCGAAAATTTTTATCCGTTGCCCAAAGCAGTTTGGCATCTTTGAAAATATTAATACATGAGCCTTGTTGTTTTGAGGAAAAGTATTTTCTGAAACTACGGAAATTTCGTAGTAGTTGAAGGATATAAATTTTCTTCTTTATGTCTGTCATCATAAACGTGCCACCAACATAGAGTATCGGCCATTATTTATAAATGATTAATAATGGTGTCACTTTCTTCAACCATTTACAAGCTAACATATTTCACTGATACACACTATCTAACGATTGCCCGGGGCTTGTCGTTCTGGGTGGTGGCCTTACCTTGTAAGTGTCCACTTTAATTACCTGCCCACGCTTGATGATAATTTTCCCCTCTCTATATTCGTTGATTAGTTGATCATCTACCCTGGAGCTCTAAGCAATTTGATTAGTATTTTATGTCACTTTTAGACTCGTCTCACTAATTAGAGCAAATTAGAAACTTTGTATTCTTTCTCTTCCCTCTTTTTTTGCAAACAGTGAGCAAAAATGGAAGTTTATTAACCCATTCAGGACTACTGTTGCAAAAACGCAATATTTTAAACATGCCTGGCAACAACTAAGCTTTTTGCAAAAAGATTTTATTGAGTGTTAGACATTGAAAAACAAAAGCTTTCAGAATTTTTGGTAATTCTGTCATCATTTTTAAAGCTTCGCAACGAGAGAGTTCCAACAAAGTGATGTTGCGTATAAACATTTTATCATTTATATGCACACCTGCCAATTTTCCACGCTGTTTGTAAAAAAACTTTTTAGTGGTGACTAAGTTAATGTTCAAAGACATTATTTTTTCCCATTTAAACTTATTTTAGGCACCACTACATATGAATGACTTAAAAATTCATATATAACGACACTTTGTTCCAGCTACATCGTGGTGAGGCTTTTAAAATGATGATAATATTACCTAGAATTCTGAAATTGCTTTTTAAGAGTCTACCACTCTATTAAATATCTCTTCTCAATTTGACGTACGATAAAATGTGCGCAACGCATTAATGCCAAACCACCTTGAACAATATTGTATACAAAGGGAAGAATATTTGCCGTCCTTTATTTATATTTTTTAAAATCCTCTTATAAATTGAAGTCAAAAATATACAGAATCTGAACATGCTACATAATATCATCTAATTTTAAGAATTAAATGTAAATTAATATTTAAGCGAGGAAGAAACCAAAATCTGATAAATCATTATTGAGAAGCGTGGGTGTAAAAATACTAAAATTTACTTCGTTGCCACTTGAAACTTTTAAGTGTTTCTAATGATCAACTAAGTATAAATTTGCGAGGTCTTCGATTTTTATATTTTCTACAAGGGTTTAAAACAAATACCATAAAAAGCAGTGATTACGGAACACATTGAATGCATTGTGTAGGGTTAGCCTAACAATTTCATCCAGTTTTGATGAAAAGGTTATTTACAAATAAGCGACCTATGAGAGACGAATGATGCATAAAAACATATATACACTCACCAAGTTTCCTATACATACAATACAAATATTCAGTGTGTGCAGCCTTAGTCACAAAATTGTAATCCTCTTCCATACATGTACGTTCAATAGCAATGCCTGTCACAACAGCATTGATGCATTCCTGCATGATCGTTGGGATTGCGGGTGCATGAATTTGTGGTGGAAAAAGTTCATGTATTTTCAACTTGCAAACAAGTTGGCCAACTCGTGAAAGACAAAATTTACATATCCCCAACTTACATAAGTAGGTACGTTTGTGAAGAACAAAGTTTATGTACTGCCCAATGCCAACCGCAGGAACGCATCAGTGCTATTTTGTCGGACTTTGATATTGAACTGGATAAATAATGGTATGTCTGCCGGATGACCAAGGGTGCACATACTAAACATTTATATCATGTAACAGTCTTGTGAAACTCCATGGGTCATACATTTATGCAAACCCTGTATATTAATGCAGATGAATCGATTAAAATTTGCTAAAATTATAATTATTTTTTTAAATATAATTTGTACTTTAAATTTTATGTTTCAAATTATTTACTTGCAGGTTTGTAAAAAAAAAGTGATTCGAGGAACAAGAGAAGCAATATTTCACCGTGCCAATAAACATTTCTAGTCATCATAATGAAGAACACATTACTGAATTAACAACTCTCGGTAAGTATACAAATCAATGATTTATTTTAATGTATAAAATCGATTAGTTTACATCACTATAATGCATTTTAAATGCAATCACGTGTTGACACGTTGAGAACACTTGTCTCCATTTCTAGTATTTTTGATTAAAACAATTTTAAAAATAGTTTATTTTACAACAATTATAATAAATATTTAATATTAATCAAGTATAAAGTGTTATATTTTTGTTACAATATATTATAGCAATTGATATTCACCTTTTATAAGCATTAATTTTCTAAATTTTGGAACGATAATACAGTTATAGTCCTTAACGATATCCATGTGTTAACTCTTTTATTTAAAACCCTTTTTTCTACGAAATTAGAAGGGTTTTTATGTGTAAATTGTTATAACTCAAATATAATACTTCGTATAAAAGCATAACCTTATAACTTCTAAACTATTTTAACCTTATAACTTCTAAACTACTCTAACCTTATAACGTTCAAACTATTCTATCTGTTGAGTTAGGTTTAGTCTCATTCCAATTAGTGTAAACAAATATATTGGAAACAATTGCTACATTTCTTTTGATAGCAGTGTCAGACAAGTAAATAAGTATCAGCTAAATATGGACTTTTTACGAACAAAACTCTTTTAATTTTCTAAAACATTAGTCCTGGTTTTGGTTTTATTTGAATTATAATCAAAATTTTATCATAACTATAAAAGGAAAATTCTACCCCCCAAAATCGTGAAAGTCAAACGCTATGCTTCCATTCATATTATCATCAATAATCATCATACAATAATCATCAATTGCGAGCTTTATAATGCAATTTACCATTCTAAACTATTAACTTTGTTTTTTTTTATTTATATTTTTTTAAATAAATCTATAAAATTTTATTAAAAATTGTCATTTGTTTTAATGTGCTTAATTTTAATTTTTTGTCTTTGTTTTCAATTTCAGTTTCTGGAAACAAGTTGCAATTTTAACTCAAGGATTTATGTCTGTTTGTGAAACCTTTTCTGTTCTGTGTTTGATAATTTTGTATTATTTTCTTTTTTTTAATATTTTATTGGAATGAAACATGGAAAAAATAATAAAATAGATGATTGGTATTTTTGTTATGTTATTTAGGTGAAAATATAATACATAATGTACACAACGGAGAAAAATTTAAAAAGTGATGACAAAATGTTACCAGGGATGCCAACTGATCAACTTTCTACTAAAATTTTAATTAATTGGTAGCGAATTAAATATTAAAAGTTGTAGAATAAGAATAATTACGTCCACTCTTTAAAAGTGTCCCTACGAGAAAACAGCAATGAAGTTGCATTTCATATGATACTTTGAATTTTTGACATGCAATGGTGGAAAATTACTTAAAATGAAAAATGCTAAATAAAAAAAAACTTAATTTGGTTACTACCAGAAAATATTTTTTTACAAAGCTGAGAGCAAGCTGGCATCTTTGTGTTTCATAAAGGTCATTGTATTCCATGGACAATAGTAAAAATAATAAATAATTTTGTGAGCAAAGTGGTAGCTATTTCTAAAATGTTGAATGCTATGGCTCTGTTAATCTACATGTCATAATAGATCTACCAGAAAAATTCTATCAACGAAAGATCATTCTCATATACAAGAATACAATTATAAAAAAAAGTAGTAGTTCGGATATACCCTCAAATACCTATATCAGATGCTTCCATTACAAGTTTGAATATGCATGTCCATGCCATATATGCTACTTCTCTTTAAACTAGAACATTATCATTGAGATAAAGAGTAAATAATCTATCACTTTTCTATATAAAAGAACCTTTGCAACTATTGTAAAATGAATTACTGAACTTTGTGGATAAAAATTTCAAATAAATATCAAATGGGAGAATTGCGGAGATGCCAGCTTGCTCCTGACAGCGAATAAATATTTTTAAGTGGTGGCTTATTAATTGTAATTCTTGGTTAAATAAATTCAATTTACTAGATTTTTATCTACAACTATTTCGAAATTATTCGTAGGTTTATATAATTCACCACTTTTTATAATTATGTCCCTTTAAACTTTTTAAAAAAGCAGGCAAAATTAGTCAAGTATTTGCAAAATTTAGTTGGTAATTATTTACCGTTTTTTAAATTATTTTGGCTTGTACGGAACAGTTGGCATCTCTGGAATTGTCAGCTTTTTCTCGTTCCAGGAAAGATTTTCTAATGTGGCAGTATAACGTAAATTTAAAAAAAAAAATGAATGAATTGTAGACTAATGAATTATTGCATTTTGTCAAAGAATGATAATCATGCAGAATATTATGGGTTTAATTTATTGCAAGTAAAATCATTCTGAATTCAGTTTTTAAATTTAATAATGCAATAGCATACCTGCAAACATTTACGCTTTGCCAAGAATGCTTTTCCCCCCAGTAGTAGAATGTTTCGAAGGATTTTATTGAAATCTTGTCAACACTTTTTCAATAAAACTTAAACTGTATAAAATATTGAGGCACCTGAGACAGCTTGCGGCCCTTTTCCCATTCATCTTGAGCTTGATCTGTGTGGTGCTTCGATGAGGTTGTGAAATGCAAATGAAGTAAAGGAGTATTCATATGGATCATTGATGTTCTGACTGTGTAATTACATGCAGTAGGGTAATAAGATTATATTGTAAAAGTATGAACTTGAGCTAAGAAGATATGATGAAAATGAGGTTATGTATATGCTATTGATGTCGGGAATATGATGCATCACTGCAATACTTTTATCAATAGGTCTGGTCTGGTCTGTTTGGTCTAGCTGGGCTCCTGAGGCCAATAATGGTCCTTTTCCCATTCATTCTTTAATGAGAACATAAACAAAAACAATACGCAGATTACATAAAATGCAACAGATAATGGCAGATGTAAAGGTAGAGAAGAAAGAATGGCACTTTGCCAGGGTAATAAGTAACAAATAATTGAATGTATAGAAAAGTACAAGACATATTTACAAGTAGGGAAGCGAAAATTACAAGAAGGAAAAATATTTACAAAATATGGGATGAGTTACCAAATATTCATAATGAATAACGTTAAGATCATAAAAAAAACTTCATTTACAAAAAAGTGTACCTTTGTTAAAGTAGAGACCCGACAGTCCTGGTTATTACCACTCTTGTCGGGTTGCTCTCTACACTAAAAATTACTCGGATTAATCTCATCTTGATCAGACCCATAGGGGATAACTTTTATCAATAAGCTAGCTGATCTATTATACACCGAAGAGCCATTACATTATGACCACCCTCCATCTATAACAATGGGCTCGCCCAGGTTTTTATCGTTTCTCACCCCGGAACAATGTTTTCATGGGGCACATTTGGACCCATAATCCTCATGGAACAATCCCTGACGTCTGTAAGCTACTTGAACATAGTTGCAGACCAGGTTCACCGATTCATGGCGACAGTTTTTCCTGCGGGGGATGGTGTTTACCAACGGGATAATGCACCATGTCATAAGGGTCGAATCGTCAAAAAACATTCCAGTGACTTTCAAATCAGGTCTTGACCCCCAAATTCACCTGAGCTTAATCCAATAGAGCATTTGTAGTCCTACTTGGAAAACCAAATTCGTGCTGCCACGCTACCCCCTCGCAATGTGAGGGAATTGCAAGACCAGTTGGTGAACGTTTGGTACCAGATACCTCAGACTACCTATCAGCACCTTGTGGAATCAATGCCACAGCGGGTGCTAGCAGTTTTGAGGATTAAAGGTGATCCTACATGACATGTTATTAGCAGGGTGATCATAATGTAATGGCTCTTCGGTGTATATGTGTTTAAATTATTTCAATGATTAAATTAGATTTAGATTGATTCATTAAATTTTATTTGTATTGATTTTGTAATTAAATTGATAGTTTGAATTTGATTTAGATTGATCTATACAGGCCACTTAAATATTGATAAAAAATAATCAGACAGTGAATTGTTTAAGTGTGGGCAAAATTCATCAAAATAAGTAATTTAACAAACTAACTCCTTTGAGACTCGTTGTGAAAGTTCAAAATTTAGTTTTGAAGTTAGAAGAATTTTTTGGGAAAAGTGATCGAACTATTATGTTTAGAAAAAATACTAAATTTTCTAGCATTGTTAATAAACGCTTTAGCTTAAAAGTACACAATAACCTAATTCCTTATCAAAATATGGTTATTTATACTAAAATAAATAATGGTAAGTTATCAGTATTTATTATCAGTAAATTATTTAGCATTGTTTCTCCAAGATAAAATTCACGATGGAAATAATTGGGCTTCCAGTCTTAGTTTCTTCAAAAAGACTTCAACGTTGGAACTTAATTGATTAAGGATCCTAGAGATTCTAAAAAGATCCATTAATTTTTTTAAATTAAAATAAAAACTTTAGTGATATCGTCTAAACCAGGGGTTTCCAACAGCCGGCCCGGGAGCCGCATCCGGCCCGCGAAGCCTTTTTTTGTGGCCCGCGAACTAAAATATATTAATTGTCATTTTTTGCGGACAATTTTCGTAAAAAATCAACATGGGTTTTCAATACTTTTGTCGTTAATAGAAACCTAATTTCTTCGTTTCTGTGAAATTTAGCATATCAACGGGGCAAAAAAAAAAAATTTTTTTTTGGTTTTGCACCCAGGAAAATATTTATTCAAATTCAAAAATAATCGTGTATGTAGCTCTATTTTATTTCATTTTTTTTGTATTTTGTTAATATAATTTAGCATGTGCGTATCAGAAATTTTCTCGAAGAAATTATCCAATTTAACTTTTTGTAACCACTCACTCATTTTGGAAGAAAATATTTACACACACATTTGTAAATTTTAAACGTAAATATCTATTCTCTGGTGGTTGCAGCAGACAAATCTCAATTTTCTCATTGAATATTTTGTGTGCTACTATGTAAGTTTTAATACCAACCCTTTTAAAGTTCTATATCTTTATAATTAGATATCTTTTGCACATTATTTGTTTAATACATAGGTGCACATTAAAGTTACTGTAGGCCGAATTTATATTATTTATTTAATATTTTTAAAAATATTAATAACAATTAAATATTTAATTATTTTTAAATATTTTAAATATTATTAAATATTTTTAAAAATCTACTTCTTATTTTCATTTGTAATTCAATACTTTTGNTCTGGCCATGTAATTACATGCAGTAGGGTAATAAGACTATATTGTAAAAGTATGAACTTGAGCTAAGAAGATATGATGAAAATGAGGTTATGTATATGCTATTGATGTCGGGAATATGATGCATCACTGCAATACTTTTATCAATAGGTCTGGTCTGGTCTGTTTGGTCTAGCTGGGCTCCTGAGGCCAATAATGGTCCTTTTCCCATTCATTCTTTAATGAGAACATAAACAAAAACAATACGCAGATTACATAAAATGCAACAGATAATGGCAGATGTAAAGGTAGAGAAGAAAGAATGGCACTTTGCCAGGGTAATAAGTAACAAATAATTGAATGTATAGAAAAGTACAAGACATATTTACAAGTAGGGAAACGAAAATTACAAGAAGGAAAAATATTTACAAAAAATGGGATGAATTATCAAATATTCATAATGAATAACGCTAAGATCATAAAAAAATTCATTTACAAAAAAGTGTACCTCTGTTAAAGTAGAGACCCGACCGTCCTGGTTATTACCACTCTTGTCGGGTTGCTCTCTACACTAAAAATGACTCGGATTAATCACTTCATGATCAGACCCACAGGGGTTTACTTTTATCAAAAAGCTAGCAGGTCTATTATACACAAATCTCAGTTTTAAAAAAGCAAAATAGCTACCGAAGAACTTTTACATAGAAATGCAGTGACACCAAGAGTTATTTTAACGAAAATCATCAGAACTGCTTTATTTTTTTTAAACTGATTTTTTCGTATGTTTGAAAATATTATTATTGTAAATGATAAAATTGCCAAACAATAAAAACTACTCTGCATTTTTATGTGAAAGTTAGGACTTCATTTATTATAAATATAATTTGGTTTAGATTTAGTTCCTGATATAATTTTTTAAAAAACAAACAAAATGTAAACAGATTGATAAAAATAAGAAATTCCTATTAAAATTTGT